AAATATACCTAGTTGGATGAATCTTATTGTAGCCAGTTGGCCCAGTGACTTACGCACTGGCCTGGAGTTTTACGACTCACCACAAGTGTAAGCCCAATCCGCACTGCGCTTTGTTTGCCATCAATCGTGTCATTACAATTTCGTGAGTCACCAAATTCGTCCCTCGGAGCAAAAATACAAAATATTCCTCCCATTTAACTTTTGATATTTTTCTATCACTCTTCTTCCTACTTCTCCATCCCACTTCTTCCGATTTCGTCTGTCGACGATGCATCTGGCCATATTGTTCATTGTGTCAAATAATCTGCAGTCAGGAACCCACGTACAGAGCGCCACCACCAACCTCGACTCTCTGCACTCACTGTATTATTAATTAATCCAGTAATACGTCTCTTTAAAATTAATGTCCGGCACTTCAGTTTGAGATTTAATGCATTTGCTTTTCTTTGTGTCCCTAATAGTTATACCAGACATTCTTTTCTCTCTCATATTCTCTGGTGCTTTGCTATTATTCTTATATTCTGTTGTATTGTTTTATATTCTTTTTCTTGCGCTCGGTGGCGGAACCTTTTGTTCTCAAGCACAATGGTGGGTTTTTTAGGAAAAATTTTGTATGTTCTGTAGGGGTTAGATTATCATTTTATTAGTATTATTATTGTTATTATTATTATTAATTATTGTAGTTATTTGTATCATCATAATTATTATTTTATTAAAATTATTATTATTATTATTATTATTATTATTATTATTATTATTATTATTATTATTATTATTATTATTATCATATTATTATAATTGTCATTATTATTTTTATTAATATTATTGTTGTTAGTAATAGTAGTAGTAGTAGAAGTAGTATAGTAGTAGTACTAGTAGTGGTAGTATAGTAGTAATAGTAGTAGTACTAGTATTTGGCGAGGTAGGAAATTAGTGTGGGTTATTCAGTGGAAGGAGTCTAGGCTTGATCCTTCGTCCGCTGACTGAGAGACAGACACATTACCCTCAGAGCCAGAAGCAGCAGAACGTGTGGCTCAGGTCTTGTATACCGAAGACTGAAGGAGAGGTGAAGACAGCGACACAAGTGGGTGGGGCCCGCTAGTACAAACAGGTCATGTCAGTACGCTATGCAAAAGTAGCATTGTCGAAAAATTTTCTGTGTTGGATAGATAAAGCTACTGGTTAGCCAAACATCTCCTTGATGAAAGATACACAAGTGCTGCACATATGTCTTACTCATATAAATGACGGTTTTAATAACTCTTAATATACAGTAATGTTGTTTATATTTCTCATGTTAATGTTTTATGTTATGTTATGTTTCATGTTTTTGATGTTCATATTTATGAAATTTATAGCGATCGGAACAACTAGATGACAAGAAGGTACAATGACGTGTAATGTGCAGCAAAAAAAACTATATTTGAGGCAATTTTTCAGCCCATGTCTCCAAGACTGAATAAAACTCATTCCTGACCTTCATTCACAACAAAGTATTGTTGTCTATCAAGTGTCTTTATGACACAATATATAACACAGAACTTGTAACCAAAATTACAAAACTTCAGGACCAAATATTACAAACTGGCTTAGAAAACTTAGCAAATTATGATAATAAATGTAAATTATTTTCTTTGCTGATAGACGCTGAGCGATATATTATGTAAAGAAAGTGCTTAAAAGACCTATGATTTTTTTACTGCTTCAGGAAACAGAATTTGTAATAAAAGCAAATGAAGAAGCATTAATAGGAGTAAACGTGACAATTTTTTTTAAGCTACGAATGTAACAATTTATGGAAATCAGTGCATTTTAAGGCTTTATTGGTTGACTTTTCCTATTGTAATTCAGTCGTGCTCACTCTCAACACGTCGTGCTCACTCTCAACACGTTGTGCTCACTCTCAACACGTCGTGCTCACTCTCAACACGTTGTGCTCACTCTCAACACGTCGTGCTCACTCTCAACACGTTGTGCTCACTCTCAACACGTCGTGCTCACTCTCAACACGTTGTGCTCACTCTCAACACGTCGAACTCTCAACACGTTGTGCTCACTCTCAACACGTCGTGCTCACTCTCAACACGTTGTGCTCACTCTCAACACGTCGTGCTCACTCTCAACACGTCGTGCTCACTCTCAACACGTCGTGCTCTCTCTGAACAAGTCGCTGGTGTACCCTGTTCCTGAATATTATGTGCAGTTTTAGTCCTCTTATTTAAGGAAGGATGTCGACAAGCTGGAGGGTGTCCAGCTCCCAGCGAGAGAGATATTACCCAGACGACGATGTAAATCATGTTAAATCCGTTTAGAAGAGCTCAAAGTATTCAACCGTGCACAGGGAAGATGGAGGAGTGGGTAGAAAGTAAAGGGAAGATAGAGGAGTGGTTCGAAGGGAAAGACGAAGACAGAGGGGTGGTTAGAAGACAAAGGAGAAGTAGAGGGGTGAATAGAAGGCAAAGGGAAGAGGAAAAGAGTGATTAGAAGACACAGAGAGGAGACAAAAGGGAAATAGAGGGTTAGAACGCATGGAAAAGATAAAAGAGAATGGTAGAAAAGCAAAGGATAGATAGTGTTAAAAGGCAATGGAAAAAAATAAAAGATGGTTAGAAGGTAAAATACTGATAATTAGGGTAATACTAATTCTCCTTAAAATAGCAGAGAAAACTTTTATTACTTAACGTTTCGCTCACTTTTGAGCTCATCTTTGTGCAGAGAGGTAACTTAGTGCACGCACTACAACCTCGAAATATACATATTTTTTTTAATTTCCAGATGAAACATCCCACTAAAGAACAGTTTGAAAATTTTAAGCGAAAGAAATCAGTCCAGTGCCAAGAAACATTTCTTATTTAAGTAGTTAAAACTCATAACAGAAAACAAGAAGTTACTGAGAGTAACTCTGTCTGTACATATATAAACTGTCTTAATAAATACC